TCTTGTATAAAAGTCTCACATAATTTCAAATATATGCTATTCTGGACACTTCTGAAATATCATTTTAGATGAGGGGATGAAAATTGACTAATTTCTAATTTTTTTTTTTTTTGCAAAAAGAAGTTGAATGAAATGGAAGGACAAGTTAAAAAAATCCCAAATATACAAGATGGCCTGCAGGCATGAATCTCAGAGATAATAGCAATGGTCAGATAAATACGCCTATTAAACCTTTTTGCTTGTTTTTATATTGACTCAGCAAGTGCTTAACCATGACCTTGCTTTATACACCCTTGCACTACATTTATTCCTGTATAATTCAGTCTTTCTCACTACAGAGAAAATTTTATATAAGTTACAGCAAGATCCAGGTCACTTCATGGTGCTGTTCAATCCTTGCACCTTGCAAGCAAATTCCAGGGCCTTGCTGCTCACCTCTTTCTAATGCACACAGAGCCCTGATGACATGTAACTCTGCCACTAATTAGGCAGCTGAGCTGATTTAAATATTAATGATTTAATGAGTGCTCAGTGCCTCACACAGAACTGGTGGGCAGGGTGCCAACACCAAAGTCCAGGCTCTGTTCAGACACAACTGATAATTACCTTTAAAAGCAGCAGATGTTACAGGCAGTAAAGATGGGCCCACAGGTTTGTTTGGGTTTTTTTTGGTTTTTTTTTTGAGGTACCAATAAATTATCTAAGGAAAAAAAGAATTAGATAATTAGAAATAAAATAATCTGTGAACTAGAGCATTGCAGTCGCTCTTCTGTAAAAAACAAGGCTGTCTTCAGTCCCACTGCAACACAGACACAGCAATTCTGGAGTAAGAAAAAAGGTTCTGTTTCTGAGAAGTTGTAGCCTTTGTCCAATAGGAGGGGGAAAAGGTTGAAGCTCCTTTAACTGTCCCATTTTCCCCTCCCAAAATACCAATGTCTATGTAATAATATTAACAACAATAACATGTAATACCAACTTAAAAATAATTATTACCATTATTGCTGTTAATTTAAATGATGGTTAACAGATCTGGTTCTGGTGTCACAGAGACAAGTGATATAATGCCACTGATAACCCAGCCAGTATCAACACTGGTCTGTTAAGTAGCATCACACCAAAAAGGGACAAAGCACGTCCCATCCGTCCCTGCCTAAAGCCTGGCACTGTGCAGTGCCTGATTGTTGTGTGCTACAGCAGCTTTTTAAAAGCTGATCAAAAACTGCTCTGCACAGAGCTCTCCTGCTCTGGAGCCACAGTGTCCAACCCCTCCACCACCTGACTACTGCAGGAGACAAAACCCCATCACCAAAAAATCTAAGTGGAGATTTTCCTCCTTGTCCTTCCCAGCAATTTGATACTACCTGAATTCAGTGGGATTTGTCTGTTAAAAGGACACAGTATAAAAGATAAAAAGTGATATTCCAGAATAGTTAATGTTATCCCAGAGTAAGAATTATCAAATAGCAGGGTACCAATGGACCTAGTGGGATGGGCAATCTTAATAAATAAAAACATGACAGTACCAACAAATTAGGCATTTTAAAACCAGAGGCATCCCCTCTATTCAGGCACAGGCTCTTTGAATTTCTCTAAGTATCCAATGCAATTAAAAGAAAAACCCTCTGGAAAAGGCAGTGTTACTCCCCGATTAAAAAAGGAAATGAGCCACAGATGAAAGAATGGAAATAATTTATAAGCCTTACCAGAAACACATCAAGAACAGTAGCCAAATATCAGATAAAAGTAAGTTGTTCCATATCTTTACAAAATGGTGTTTTAATTTATGATTTCCTTTTTGTGACAAAATTGAAAGAGTTCAGGAACAGTGACAGAAAATAGATTCTCTTTGAAGTCAAGGCTGACCTGACTGTTCAGAGAAATGCTCTGACAACTCTAAGTTAAGATCAGAAAACCTGTTGTAGTTTGTGTCAGAAGTTTAAAGAAAAACTCAAACTTTAAATCAACAAAACTCAGAATATCTTTTTCCAGTATTTTATTACATAAAAAGTTGATTGTCCATTGGAAATTTTTCGCAAAGTGCAACCACATCCTGTGTAGCATCACTGGCAAACTGTTTTTTCTGAGTAGGACAGCTGTGTTAAAAATTTAACAGTAGCTCAGAAAAGTTAGTTATAGCACTAGAACAGAGCAGCCACTATAGTGGGAGGAGAAAGGCAGCAGATGTTTTTCTGTTGTGAAAACAGATCATTTTCCATGTACCTCTGTATAGAATTGAAAAAAAAAGGAAATAATAAGAGCTATAATTACTACCCTACTGGTTGAAATTAGTTTTAAAGGAGGTATCTCAATGTTCTGTATGTGGAACCAAAAAATCTGCTATTGAAAGCTTGATAAGCCTCCAAAGGAGACTCCATCTGTCTTCTGAGTCTGAGGTACTCATAGAACATTCCTGGTCTAATTTTTTGAGGATATTTATATATATATATATATATATATATATATATATATATATATATATATATNATATATATATATATATATATATATATATATATATATATATATATATATATATATGCGTGTGATAGGGTTTGGGCTTCTTAAAAAATCACCAAATACATAGTTATGTAACACTGTCCCAGGATAAGTGTAACTGTCTCCAAGACTTTACCAGTTTTAAAAGGCAATTCAGGTTATTCTTGAGTAATGAACTGTGATAGCAAAAAAAGATTGGTTGGGGTATTTTTATACCCCAGAAAGACTGACTGCCATATTACACTTACTGGTATATTTCAGTATTTGTTTAGTGTAAAGCATGAAAAAGGGGGAAGAAAAATGGAAGAGTAAAATAAACTTATTTTGTGAAGGCATCATTTTGTGTTTTATATAAAAATCAACTGCCAAGTCATCACACAGATTAAAAACTTAAAAAGACCCAAACAAAGAACAACAACAAAAATAACAAACCCCAAAGACTTTGAAAATTGATTAAGCTATGTGGCACAAGACTCACCTGCATTTGGCATGGGCAACTGACCCAGAAACAACCAAACAACCAACAAATGTCAATTGGCTGGTTCAGTTTCAACAAAGCTCCTTTTAAATACAAAGGGGAAAGACCCAATCTACTGTTAATGTAGATTTATGAATGACTGAAGTATCTATACTCAAAAGCTGGGCTATAGCTATAGTGTAGTAATTCTTTCTCCAACAGTCTCAAACCCAACCTGATCAAAAAGGAAATAACATTAGGAGGAATACAAAACTGCACTTCCATGTCTTTCTGATCAAAATCTGAATTGTCACCTCTATGCCATAACTTTGGAAAGCAAAAACTCATTAATATTTCATTTTTATAGTTTAAACTGACCTCTGTTGTTCCCTTGAGATGAGAAGCAATATTGTTTACAAAAGGTGGTGCTAACCCAGAATATGTGACCAAATGATATATTACTTATGTACAAAAATTGGATTGCACATCAACTATCCAACTATCTACTGAGACTCTTCTCAACTCCGCTGCACATCTGCATTAGTAGTAGAATATAAAAAGTAATAGTTAATCCTGAAGAAACAAATTTTAATTTTCCACTGAAACAGGTACAGGCCTGTTTAATGAAGTGTAGCTGCAAAAGTTTCTTTACTCTAAATTCATACTAATATAATTAAAATTAAATAAAATGAATCAACTGGAACCTTCATCAACATCATTTAGTCCTGACATATAGAAACCAAAGATGAGTTAGTCTGCCTCTTGAATACATAACCAAATGCAGATCTATTTAAAATGTTTTACTACTCTTCAAAACAGTAAGTTTAGTGACATCTTTTATTTTGAAACAAGGACTCAGTTACAGTTTCATACTTTTGATACCGTAGTATTCCACAAGATCAACCATTATGGTTCAATTAGGACCTTTTATCCAAAACACTTGGATTTTAGCACCTTAAAGAAAAAGGAACACCATACTAGTATTGAATGAAGACAGTTGATACTGTGCTCATCCTCTGCAAAATGATGTGGACCACCCTACTTGGTGCCTTTTGTCCCTAACTGATAGTAAGGCAGAAGGGAAACAATTCTAAGCAAAGCAATAACAAAAAAGCAAAGTAATAACAAAACCTCCCCAATTATACAAAGTATTGGCTCCCTTATGTCCAACTTCTTAGTATTCAAATTAAATGGTAATTTACAATAAACCAAGTCAATCAGGAATCTGTACCAAGGAAAAAAACAAAAACTAACCAGATCAGCATCATAACTCAAAGTTGAACTCTGTGCTCTAATGAGTGCATTTTCAAATATTTAAACAAACCATTAAATCAGTAAACGAAATTAACTTCAGAGTTAAATGCTTTTTCTTTCAGCTCACTGCCTGAGTAACAGGGCACGAGGAACAGCTGCTTCCACAGGCACAGTCCTTTAGCAGCAGGAGCAACCTGAATGCCCTGGATTCATCTTCACTTTTCACCCTGACACTGCTCGTGCAGGTGCTCCAATTCCATTCACTTCTGACATGTCCCTCCTGTACAGATCTGCAGTCCATGAGCAGAGTTCCTACCTAGTGTCCATCACACTCCTAAGCACAGATTTCCGGGGACACAACAGATTGAGTTTATTTTAAATAAACAGGCAGTCTCACCAAACACGTCCTATACCCTGTAATTTCAGGCATCTTTGGCCACTATTCTTTGCTACTTTGGGCAGTTTTGTGCCAACTATGTCTATCAAACCATCTTCCAAGAGAAACTTTTCACACTGCACTTGGCTCTCAGCAGCTGTGAACCCATGATTTGCACAACTAAGATGGACACAGCTACTGCAGATAAACATCAGTGCATTCTGAGACCATAATTATTCTTTTCCACTTAAATTTAGTTTGTGATGTTAGACACACAGATTTGTATGGTAGTTTTAAACAACAACAAAGGCATAAAGAATTACAAACTAAAGCAGTCAATTGCTGCCATGAAGCATTACCTTTCCTGTAACTAAACAAATGGTCAACAGCAATGAGTGAACTCGTGAATTTCAACATAAATTTAAGCTTCAGTAGTCTCTGCTTCCTTCCTCCCCAAAACCCAGGACTCATCAGCAGATTCCCTTCAAGGAGCAGCAGAGCAGGATTCAGTCTGGGCACCGTGGCTGTCATAGCTCCTCTCTCTGGTTGGTTGCTCGGTTGTCCTCTTTGACACCGTTGGATTTCTTCTCTGTGTCTTTTTTCTTCTTTGCTTTGTCAGGTTTTGTTTTGTTTTTCACTTTCTCATTTCCATCTGCTCCTTTGCCAGGATAAACCTGACCTTCCAAAGTAACATCTGCACACCTTTCCTGATTTATCAGGAAGTCTTTGATCTCCCAGGCATAGCCACCATCCCGCAGCATGAAGATAGCCCGATTGGAGCCAACAATAAACCTAGAAGAAAAAAAATCCATATTTTTTTCAGTTAACTCTGTGCTTTTCAAACACTCCAGCATTTGCTCAGAGAGCCTCCATGTCTGAGGCACATGTTTAAGAGCAAAAAGCTGGTCTAGTTGTTGCCTGGGGGTGGGGACAAGAGAACAATCTTCTATGACATTTAAGAATAAAATGTATTAAGTATATCAGCAAGTAATCAAGGAAGTTAAGAATAAGGAAACAAATTTAGAACTAATTTGGCACTATGTAAAATCCACTAACGAGCATTGTATTTGCTTTATCCAGTTATTGCAACCCTTCTCAGCCTCAATAAAGAGCACAACATTCTCTGTTTCAAAATTATGCTCTCTCTCAGAGAGAAAAAGAGTCACATTTTTTAACAGGGGAACAAAAAGCCTTTTGTGGTGACAAGTCTTCAGAGTCTGATGCTTTCCATCAAGCACATAGAGGCAAACTACTGCAGCTAGAACTGATAAACAGCTGAACCATAGTGAGATGAAAAGAATCAGGGCTATACACACATAGTGCACAGGCACTGAAGAGGTTTCTGCACCACACCACAAGTTTTGTCACAACTGACAAAGAAACAGAAATAGTAATGGATGATCGAGATAGAGAACAGCAAAGGATGACCAGCTGAGAAGGTTTCCAGGAGGAAAGAAAGTGTTCTGCAAAGGCAAGAACTTCATCCTCGTGCACAACAGCTCACCTCTGCACGTCGTAGTTTGCGTTGAAAAGACTGCCCTGCCACAAGCTGGTGATCTCTTCTGTCTCCTTTTCTGTTGGATTTCCTGACACTGTGACAAACATCATCAAAGTCTTCCCCTTCTTTGTCAGCTTCAGGATGCTTTCAGGTTTGCCTGGATCTATTTTTGAGAAATCTATTGGTGCTGGAGGCCTCTTGTGTTCAGGGAGATCTCCCTCTTCAATGTCATCATCTTTCTGTTTTGAGAAGGACAAGGAAGCTTTAAACTCAACTGTTCCACAATACATTTTGAGGTTTTTTTTTTAATTTATCTTTGTTTAGAGAATAACTGTGCTTTAATAAAGTATCTTTTAGCTGAATGATGCAGATTGTGAAATCAAAAGCGACTGCTGTTTCAAGATACTTCACCAAGAGTGCTCTTTCCATTTATAACCCTCCTCTGAAAATGATGTACATTTTCATACTGACAGGTGAAATCTCATTCTATCATATATTAAGAAATATTTCAGCCTTAAGGCTCATTGAATACAATTCCACCTATGAAACTCATAAAATGATTTTTTTTGTTCACAGTTTGAAAAATATTTATTATGCATGCAAGATGAAATGGGAAAGTTGCAATAAAAAGCCTCATACACACATATATGAAAACACATTAATCTGATACTGCTTTCAGAGGTCAAAACTCATTTCTGGGAATCATGTGATTGCTTGAGAATTTAAGTTCCCTTACTTTGTGTCTTGAAACAATTAAACACGCAAGAATTCAGATCTTCTGAGTGCTTATGCCACAGGAAGACTTTGATTAAAGGTTTCATGACTTTTCTAATGCCCAGATGCAGCTCACAGCCTGACAACATAATCACCCAGAGTAAGTCACTCCCACAGAAAAGAAAAATATTAACCTCTCGATGCCTCTGCTGGGGCTGACAGCCATTTAAATATTTGGAAAGGCACAATCTGCTGCCCCTTAAAACAGCTCACAACTGTGAGCTGAATATGCTGACAACTTACATTAAACCAGAACTTGATTTCTGTAACAGTAAAGTTCATGGACTACAGAACAAAAGCTGTAGTAGCCTTAGATTTTATCCTTTCTTTCCTTATTCATTTTGTCTTTGTTTCAATTTTGCAAGTCTGAAACACACTTTCAAGTAGTTCACATGCCTTGAAATTTCTGAAATTAATGAACCGGGAGGAGAGGAGAGTACAAGAAAGTCCCTGCCACCACTAAGTGGGAAACTTATCTTACAGGAGGCCAGAGAATGGTCAAATTGGTAAAGTACAGTGAAAATATAAAATCTCAAAATCTCATGTGATTGACTAAAAAACATTCTCCACAATTAAAAGAAGCTTAAGACTGGTTTGACTAGAGCAAAGCCAGCTTATTTCACAGTTCTGAAAAAGGCAGAAAGAAACATTTCCAAATACTCTGTATGAAATATAGAAACTGACTTGGGATTTAGTGACAACATGAGCTACTAATATGTATTATCTATTTTTTTTCCTAACTATGTAACTAAATGCTCCTGAAGTTGTGTTCTTTCACTTTGAATGGGAGTATTATCAGAAGATGCCAAGAGCTCCCCTAGATGGCATTTATTTTCTTATTTCCTGTACAAAATGTCATGCAGCTGTGCTTCAAGCTATCTAAAAGGAAAAAAGTGAAGGAAAAGTGTAAGCTTTTGCTTTGAAAAGTCTAGCTGACTGTCCTGGTTTAGGGTAGATTTGGGAGGAAACTTCCAAAGCAGATTCAAGTGGCCCCTCTCTCTACTGGTTCGAGAAAATATTTCCTTGGAGAGAAGTGGAAAAAAACCTGTTTATTTAAGATGCAAAGTACTCACAAGCATGAAGAATGAATAGTATTAAACAATAAAACCTCTCACTGTTCTGAAGAGATGGCAAGTTCAGAATATCCTTTTTGTGGGGTGTAGCTCAGCTCACTCAGTATCTTATCAGTCCCTCCTGCACTGGAATTGAATGGAATTTTCATTGAATTTCTACTAGGAATTATTTTCTTCAATTGTTTTTTCTTGTTAGAACAAACCACGCCAACTTACTTTCTTACTTACTTTACATAGTTCATATCTGAACTATGTTCAGATATGGATCTCAAAGTTACTTGATTCCCTTGGGTAGGTGCAGTAGTCCCTCCTGGCATGTCCCAGGCCCTGGTGGGCCACGGGCGTGAGCTCCTGTGTTTTCCTGGGTTTTAGTCCACAGCAAGGCCAATCAGGTTGAAGAAAAAGAAAATCCACAGTCCAAGGAACTTCTCTGCCTCAGCTAGCTAAAAACTAACTAAAAGCAAAGGAGAGCTCTCTCCTGCTGTCTGTGAGAAGGAAGGCTGAAGCTCTTATCTCTGTTTTTGACTACAACCCCCCAGACATTCCACTGCTTCTCCTTCTCCTCCTCCTTCAGTCTCAGGCCTAGTTTTAAGGGTGCAAAACTTATTTCTGGGCTAAACATACAAAGAGGGATACAACTCAGCATCATGAAGTCACCCCAGGACACAGACTCACTCACTTAAACAGTAACATGAGGTTCCAGAGGAAAAGCATTACATAGACACAGGAAAAACTGCACATTCCTTCACTTGCTCCTCCCCTCAGCTCCCATTTTCAGAAATCTCTCATAAATACCCTGCATTCTGATTTTTAAAAACATTAGTAATATATACTACTTAACTGCTTTACCTATTCAATGATCAGAATCAAGCCTGATAAACCCTGAGCTTGTAACAGTAATGAACTATTTAAAGCACTTGACATTTCAATAACTTAGAGACCTCCAGCCCAGATTTCTCAGTTCTGTGTCCAGCTCCCCAGGAGTCCAGGCTTCAGGAGAGTCCCTTTCCATGAAGAAAATCCCTCAGTGGCTTTCTCCAAGCTCTAGTTGTGCAACTGAGCTGCTGAAGCACCTCTTTGCCCTGTTGCTCATCCCTGTTTTCCACCAGACCACTCTCCTGGATCACCAGGCAGTCATGCACATGGTGCAAGGGGCAGCACAAGACCCTGAGCAGAGAGGTGGCTGCTCCTGCTGGGAAAGCTGCTGGAGCCACACACTCAGGCTTGTGACCAAACCCAAGCATGTCATAACCACCAGCCTCCAATGGTTTTAGACTAATTGCCAGGGAAATAAAAAAATCTTTGGAGCAATTTCATTCGGTTGAAAGTAATGACATTTGATTCTGTACAGATCTATGCCCTGTGCCCCTCATTCCCAAGCACAGTTCCTGCTCTTGCCTGAATTCAGTGGCCCCTTTGTTTCTCATCCCACTCCACCAAGTGCACTCGTGCCCTTTCTCCTCCAGCCACCACCCCCTCAACCCTTTCATGTTCCCTATGTGTCCTGACTCCCACCAGGCAAAATACCCTGCAGCTGACCATGCCAGGAGAGCAAACAACCCCAATTGTTGAGCCCTGCTCTGTGTGCCCCTCCCCAGGCACACCCAGCCCCAGCAGTGACTCCCCAGCTGCTCTGCCACATCTGCATTTGTGCAGCACACCCTGACCTGGATCAGGGTCCTGCTCCAGCTGAAAACAAAAAACCCACCAGAGCCTCCTGACCTGCTCACTAGGGCTGGAGCAGACTATACAGTCAAGAGTCACAACAGCATTAACTTGAGTCTCCCTTTCAGCCATCTCATTAAAAAGAGATGCTCACCTTTTAAGGTTTTTTTTTTTTTCCTACAAGGCCAAATTTGGTTTAAGTTGGGCAATATAAAGCCTTGCATTTTTGGAAGCTGGGTCTGCTGGGTCCTTGGCTGATGCCACCAAAAGAAAAGTGAACTTTCAGCCTTTTATTAATTTTTTATAAAATTGTAACTCAATTTTCTAAGAGCCTCCCTTCCTAAAAGGATATATGGAGTAACAATCCATGGGACGAACAAATCCATAACCTGCCAACCAGGACTAAGGCAGGCATCCATACTTCCAGTTATTTTACCTATAATTCACATATAAAACACACTTCTCCACCTTGACTTACAGCTGCAACTGGTATTACATAAAACACAGGTTTTTCTCTCCATTATTTCTTTCAGGGTTTTTTGCAAAATATTCTAGGGAAAAACCTCACAGGAAAGAATAAATGACAGGGAGGAGTGCTCTGGCATTCATCAGAAGATGATAAAACATAGCATAGTGAAAAGAACTCAACAGTGGCATGACAACCACATGGAGAAGAGAGTGATGGGAAACCACCGAGGAAAGTTAAGGGGTAAGAATGAAGGCAACGAGAGAGAGCTAGAAATAGAAGCTGTTACTATGAAGAAAGGAAAGAAACACCAAACCAAAACAACCTATCTACCCTGTAAACGTGAAATTAATATTCCTTCTGGTATCCACCCCTTGGTCACATAATGTGTATCGCTCAAGGAGCTCGAAAACACCAGACTTTTCAGGCAGACGAGGCTGCCGGCAGCTGCGGCTCTGGGAAGGCGGGACAGGGCCCGCCGGGCAGGGCAGGCTGCGGCCGCTCGCCGCGCCTTCGAAACCCCCACCCACGGGCCGGGGCGAGGAGCGCGGCCCCGGCCACGCTCCAGCAGCTCGGGGCTCCCTCCCCGAGGATTCCCGGGGATTCCCCCGGCCCGGCCCGGCCCCGCCACTCCCGCCGCCGGCCCCGGCGCCTCCCGCACCTCCCACTGCTCCAGCAGCCGGGCCATGTCCGCGTCGTTGTAGTCCCGAATGTCCTTCTTCTTGGGCGGCCCTTCCCGCCGCTTGCCCTCGGAGCCGCCGGCCGCGCTCACACACAGCGCCAGCGCCAGCAGCGCCCAGCCCGCGGCCGCCGCCATCTTCTGCCGGGCCGGGGGAGGAGCCGGGATGGGCCGGGCCGGGCCGGGAGGAGGAGACGGAAAGGGAGCGGGGCGGGATGGGTCGGGCCGGAGGAGGAGCTGGAAGGGCGGATCTTGCTGGGCTGGGCGCGGCCCCGGCCGGGTCCCCGGAGCGACCGAGGCTGACGGGCACGGCCGGGGTTGCCGGGCATTGCCGGGGTTATCGGGCATTGCCGGGGTTATCGGGCATTGCCGGGGTTACCGGGGTTGCCGGGCATTGCCGGGGTTGCCGGGCATTGCCGGGCATTGCCGGGGTTACCGGAGTTGCCGGGGTTGCCGGGCATTGCCGGGGTTGCCGGGCATTGCCGGGGTTGCCGGGCATTGCCGGGGTTACCGGGCATTGCCGGGGTTGCCGGGCATTGCCGGGCATTGCCGGGCATTGCCGGGGTTACCGGGGTTACCGGGGTTGCCGGGGTTGCCGGGGTTGCCGGGGTTGCCGGGGTTGCCGGGGTTGCCGGGCGCTGCCGCCGCCCCGCACCAAGCCCCGCTGCGGGCAGCGCAGCCCCCGGTGCGGTCCTGCAGGGCCCGGGCAGGCAGTGAACGCTGGGCATTGAGAGGATAAACCGAATAAATCAGTGATGGGCCCAGCGCCTGGCGTCTGAACTGTGCGGTTGCTTCGTGGTGTTTTTAAAAAACAGGATGAAAAGTGTCTGGGTTTGCTGATCTGTGGGATGGGAACTGGGCCCATTGCATGAGTCTTCTGATTTTGACTACTGTCTTAGCAATATTAGGTTTCTAAAAGAAAAGTATTGAAGTTAAGGCTGTTTGATACTAAATACAACTCCAGGACATTTGACCACCACAAAAAA